GTCACGCTGAGCAGCTAGGTGTAACAGAACCCGAAGAGTAGTCATCTTCGGGGTCGGAGCGAAGGTCTGGAAGAAGTCCACCCCCTCGCGCTGACTGAAGCCTCTAGCCACATAGCGCGCCTTGAAGACAGGCGGCTCTCCAGGAGGGCGCTTCACCTTGAAGAGCCAGCGGCCATCGACTACGTTCACCCCAGGTGGGGGAACTGCGTCGACGAAGGTGCCGGTGGATCTCCAAGATGCCATCTCCTGCTCCATGGCAGCTATCCACTGCGAGGCCCAGGGTCCCGAAGTCGCCTCAGCGTAAGTGCGAGGGGTCGGGATGTCGAAAGCGTCTGGGTCACCCTCAGGGACTAGTAGCATGGAACAGAGATGGGGAGCAGCCTCGGAGAGGAAGGCAAGCTCGAACTGGCGGTCCTCCAGGACGTCACTGCCAAGGGCAGGAGCACCCCCGACGGACGGAGGACAGGCAGGGTCAGAGACCAGAGCGGAGGCGTAGTCAAGGCGGCGGGTAGAGGCGAAGTCAGCGACAGCAGCGACAAGAGCATCAAGGCACGAGGTCGGAACAGACGGGTCGGTAACGAGAGAGGCAAGGACCCGAGGAACAAGGGGACGAGCGGCACGAAGGTAGTCAGACAGCGGTGGGGGGGCAACAACAAGAGAGGATGGAGGAGGCGACGGGAGAACGGGAGGACGAGACGCGTGGGAACGAAGCAACATAGGGTGGGAGCGCAAGACAGGCGAGGTAGGACGAGCGCGGGAGGGACGGTGAGACCAGACGTGCGACGGAGGAGTCGGGTCAGGAGACAGAGGAGGGGACACAGGAGGGGAACGAGGGGGGAGACGAGCCGGGGACGAGTCCGGCGGAGGGAAAACAGGGCCGTAGACAGGAAGAGGAGGAGACGGTCGGGGAGGAACCGACGCCGGGTCGGGGGACGGCAGGCCGAGCAGGCGAAGGGCTGACACCGGCGGGGACTGCTGCGGCGGCGGCACAACGGCGCCACCGGGACCGCAAGCTGCTCCTCGGCTACCAACGACACTCTCCACACCAGCACCCCCAGAGGGACCACCCCCAGGGCTACCGGGACGAGCACCCCCAGAGGCAGCGAACGGGTGCTGCGACGGCGGCGGCGGCGGCGGCGGCGGCGGCAGCGACAGCGACGGCTGCAGCGGCGGCAGAGGTGGTGGAGGGGGGGACTGGGGAGGGGACGCTAGGGGAGGGGCGGCCGGCGAGGACTGGACAGGAGGGCCACCAGAGTCAGAAGACTCCTCAACCGGGTCCACCGACGGAAGGGGGGTGACGTGGGACACACCAGAGGGGGCAGGACGGGGAGGAGGAGGAGGAGGGGCAGGGACTACCGGGGAAGGAGTGACCAGGAACAGGGGGGGGGTAACCGGGGGACCACGGTGGGGGAAGCGACGGTAGTAGGAGACGGACTCGTCAAAGGTCACGTCACGAGAGTGAATGAAGCGGTGAGACGGCGGGTGGTAAAAGTGGCAGTCGGACGCGTCAAGGGGAAAACCGAGGAAGACGCAGGGAAGGGTGCGGGCAGTGAGCTTGTCCGTGCCGGAGGCACGGACGTGAGCAAGGCAGCCCCAGACGTGGAACGCAGACGCGTCACCAGGAGACCCAGTCCAAAGACGAGTCGGCGAAACCTGCGGCTGCTGAGGGTGCGGCCACAAGTTAAGCTGGTGAGAAGCGTAGCGCACAGCGAACGGCCACAGAAAATGGGGTGCACCGGCATTGATCATGGAGGTGCGAGCCACCTCCATGACCAAACCGATGCGTCGCTCAGCGACCCCATTCTGCTGTGGGGAGTCCGGTAGGGTGAACGTCTGGGTGATGCCCTCCGCACGACAAAAGCGACCAAGGACACCTGAGGCAAACTCGCCACCACGGTCGGAGTGAAGACGCAAGACAGGGAGACCGCAGTGGACACGCGCAGAGACAAGCCAGGGGATGAGAGCGCCAGGCACGTCGGCCTTGCGCTCCAGGGGAAAGACTGTGGTGTAACGAGTGAAGTCGTCGACAAGCACAAGGAAGTAGCGCTCTCGACGCGGCCCAGGGACGGGGGCGGGGCCCCAGACGTCCAAGTGCAGGGTCTGCAGCGGTGCGGCGGTAGGGGGAAACGAGGAGGAGTGCGGGGCACGGCGAAGCCGACCCTCAACACAAGGCGTGCAAGGTGGGGCTGGGGAGGAGGGAAACGCGGGGAGGGAACCTGGGAGACCAAGGACAAGACCATGCTGGGACATGTGACGCAGACGCTGGAGCGCAGGGTGACGAAGGCGGTGGTGCCACAGGAGAGTCGGGTGAGTGAGGGACCGACAGGAGCAGGCAGCAGCAACCTGGGTATACGCAGCCACCTGAGGAGGCGCTCCAGCCGGGGGGGTCACGGTGTCCAGAGTGAACAGGCCGGACACCGAGTCCCGGGGGAACGTAGACAGGGGGGCACCAGTGGCGGCCTCGGTACACACAGCATACCGCTCGTGACCAGGGAACGTAGTGGTGACGCCAAGGTCCTGGAGGCAGCCGACACCAACTAGGTTCCTGGAGAACGAAGGGATATGCAGACCTGTGAGAGAGCCCGAGGGAACCGCCGGACAGGGAAGGGTGGTGGAACTGCGGGCGACGACCGGACCGCCGGAGGGGTCAGCAAGAGAGACGGCAGCTGGGACAGGAAGCGGCGTCAGGGTGGTAGAGTCGTGGAGAAACACCGAGAAGCGCCAGAGTCCAAGGTGAAGGAAAGCGAAGCAGAGGCGTCTGGCAACGGAACGACGGCTGAAGCACCAAGACTACACAAAGCAGGGGATCCTGCGCTGCAGCAGCAGTCTCAGCCACTGCGGCAGAGCCGTCAGAGAAGGTACACTGGGCGGGGGCACAACCCTGAAAGATGGGGACCGGCACGACACCGCTCGCCTGGGCGATGGAGCGGCGACGGGTCTCGATCACAGTCTGGGTGTCTACAAAGTCAGTGAGGGTGAGGTCGGCAGAGTGAAGGCTAAGGAAGCGGTCGCGGGCGACAGCAAGGCGGTCAGGGAGGCGGGTGGCAAGCAGGTAGAGGGTAGAGGTAATGGGCGGCTGGTGGGCTCTAAGCTGTGCGTCAGTGCAGGCGGCGCGCCAGGTCTCCTCTATCGAGCGCAGGTGGGCAGCGAGGTCAGAGACAGTGGGGAAAGAAGCAAGGTCAGGAAAGAGCATCGGGAGGATCAGGCGGCCCACCGAGGCAGCCGGAGGGGTGGAATAGCGCTTGATGACGGCATCTAAGTAGGCCTGAGCAGTAGTGAGGGACCTAAAGCGAGGACGCTCGGACAGGGGGAGGGCATTGCTAATGGCAAGCTGGGCGACAGCATCGCGAGAAAGCCAGACAGAGCGCGCACGGGCAGTGGCAGCAGTAGACTCACGCTCAGTGGGTGTGGGGTCAGCGGGCAGAAGAGCAGGGGGGTCTGGGCAGGGGAGCGTACCGTCAAGGTGTGCGGAAAGCGGTTCACCATCCTGCCGCTGGCCAGTGAGTTGGCGGCGGAGGTCGGCAAGCCACGCCTCGAACTCTAGGGGCTGACCTTCAGCGTCGAAGCGAAGCTCCGCCGCCATCAGGAACAGTCCAGTGCGGTGCAGGGCAGCGCAGTGCAGTGCAGTGCGGTGCAGTGCGATGCAGTGCGGTGCAGTGCGATGCAGTGCAGTGTAAGGCAGTACAGTGTGGTGCGTGGCGGTACGGTGCAGGGCAGTGCAGGGCGGGGTGGGGGGGAACCGTACCAGTGAGGAGGACGGGGCCGGGGCAGCGGGGCCGGGTAGGTGCGACCGGGCCGGGCGAGGGCGACGGGGCCGGGCGGGCGCGACGGGGCCGGGCGGGCTCGACGGGGCCGGGCTGGTGCGACAGGGCCGGGCCGGGGCGACGGGGCCGGGCGGGCGCGACGGGGCCGGGCAGGGGCGACGAGGTCGGGCCGGTGCGACGGGGCCGGGCGGGCGCGACGGGGCCGGGCGGGCGCGACGGGGCCGGGCTGGTGCGACGGGGCCGGGCGGCTGCGACGGGGCCGGGCAGGGTGCGACGGGGCCGGGCGGGTGCGACGGGGCCGGGCGAGCAGGACGGGGCCGGGCTGGTGCGACGGGGCCGGGCGAGCGCGACGGGGGGCCCAGGAGGGGCGCTGCAGGGGCCCAGGAGGGGCGCGACGGGGCCCAGGAGGGGCGCGACGGGGCCCAGGAGGGGCGCTACGGGGCCTGGGAGGGGCGCGACGGGGCCCAGGAGGGGCGCGACGGGGCCCAGGAGGGGCGCTACGGGGCCTGGGAGGGGCGCGACGGGGCCCAGGAGGGGCGCTACGGGGCCTGGGAGGGGCGCGACGGGACCCAGGAGGGGCGCTACGGGGCCTGGGAGGGGCGCGACGGGGCCCAGGAGGGGCGCTACGGAGCCCAGGAGGGGCGCGACGGGGCCCAGGAGGGGCGTTACGGGGCTTAGGAGGAGCGCGACGGGGACCAGGAGGGGCACGACGGGGCCTAGGAGGGGCGCGACGGGACCCAGGAGGGGCGTTACGAGGCCTGGGAGGGGCGCGACGGGGCCCAGGAGGGGCGCTACGGGTCCCAGGAAGGGGCGCGACGGGGCTAGGGGGGGGGGGTCGCGACGGGGCTAGGGAGGAGCGAGCGGAAGCGGGAGGTGGGGGAGGATCCTACCTACGCGTGATACCATATCAGAAATTGAAGAAGTGATTGATAGGGTGAGAGTACACACAGATATACCTAAGTGTTGTACTCTCTAAGAGGCGACCCTATACAGTCTATACAAACATGACAAATACACATGTTTGACATAACCTACTCAATACCATGTTAAGATACGAGAATAATGACTAGGAAGAGAAACCTAGAATATATACCTGTTGGGTTGTACTCACTAGAAGCACACACCTAGTCTAACCTATAGCTTCTATATTGAACATATATATGCGTTGACATACATAACCTCTCTGTCACTTCATCTACACTATGTACATGGTGATGGACTATCTCTCCATGCTGAACAGTTTGAGCATCTCGAATGTAGATCTTCACATGGGTGGATAATGAGTATCAACCATAGATTATCACATGGTGGATATACAACTTCCTGGAGCTACCACAAATCTGTTCGTGAAAAAACCTCGGCCGCAAAACACAAAAAACCTTACACCTCATGACCAAGCTGGTGGTAGTGGCGGTTCATATAAATGAGTGGATGGAAATCATGGTGACTTGTTGCAACAACCTGCTCAGCAGACACAACCAATCCACAACGACAATTGAGAGGCATGATCCACAAACATATCTGTCTAGAGCTGAGAGATAGGGTAGCAAACGTGTGTGATAAGTGAAGCAGGAAAACACTAAAACAGGTCCTTTCCTTGCCTCATCTATTAAACAGAACAGAAAGCATTAGGGATGCGAACACACGATGGCAGGAACTTTCAAGGACAAGCTTAAACAGTGAGGAGGAGACCAGGACAGAAATGAGGAACAGGGAGGACAGAGACTTGAGTGGGGGATTTCAAAACACAAGTGAAAAAGGGACAGTAAAAAAAGCAAGGACAAAGAAAAGCCTATGAGAGGACAAGAGGGAACGGAAGTAAGCAAGGGAGAGGGGGAGATGAGTGACAAGGCAAGGAAAGAGGAGTGAAAGACACAGAGTGTGCATGCGTGTGTGTGTGTGCCAGATTGTGTGTGTGTGTGTGCGTGCGTGTGTGTGTGTGTGTGTGCGTGTGTGTGTGTGTGCGTGTGTTTGTGTGTGTGTGCCTGATTGTGTGTGTGTGTGTGCGTGTGTGTGTGTACGTGTGTGTGTGTGTGCGTGCGTGTGTGTGTGTGTGTGTACGTGTGTGTGTGTGTACGTGTGTGTGTGTGCGTGTGTGCGTGTGTGCGTGTGTGTGTGTGGGTGTGTGTGCGTGCGTGTGTGTGTGTGTGTGTGTGTGTGTGTGTGTGCGTGCGTGCGTGTGTGTGTGTGTGTGTGTGTGTGAGAGAGAGAGAGAGAGAGAGAGAGAGAGAGAGAGAGAGAGAGAGAGAGAGAGAGAGAGAGAGAGGGAGAGAGGGAGAGAGAGAGAGAGATAGAGAGAGGGAGGGGGAAGGAGGGGCCCGGAGGGAGAAAATGTGGAGATGTGAGCGAGGGGGATGAGTGAGGTAGGGGTTGAGGGGAGGGGGAGGAGGGGGGAGGGGAAAGAAGCATGGATAGATACAATTGCCAAGGGCTTTGTGTTCTAAGAGAACCACTCAACTGCAGCAAGCGACACTGATGGCAGTATTATCCACAACGAGGTACACGATCCGGGGTGGCCAGAAATACTCGACTGAAGATTACCTGACCCAGCAGTAAGATGTGATCACCGGCGTCGAACGCTGCCTTCCGATAGCACACCAAAGCCGCCATACACTCTTCCATGATCGGCACTGCCTTCACCTTGTCCTCATCCTCCTCGCCTTCAGGAGCATTGGGCGGGATTTCCGACATGTACTTGTCCAGAGATAACAACGACCACGGACCTGCCGTCCTGCATGTGACAGCAGAGAGCATATCAAATACATGCAATGGCTTCTGATGGATGATTCAGCGAAGGATCTCGTTAAAAGCACGAGTTTTGGTGACCTGCCAACTCCATAGCTCTCGGGAACTTACTCGTTGAAAGGAACCTTGCCGGTATCGTGCTGCACGAGGGGGCAGAGAGCACAGAGACGCAATATGAGATTGCGTTAGGAACCAAACGCAGATAGCCAGCGAGAATAACGCTGAGCCTAACAAAAATCCCTATGGGTTGGGGACTCGCCACATGGCAGCGACCTGCTAACAGTACAAGATTGAAAGCACGAGCAGTACCGGCTTGGCAAAATCCGTGGCCTTTTGCTTGTTCTCCTCATTGAGCAGATGAACCCCGAATCCGCTCGCCTTCTCCAAGACCTGCAAAAAGCAATCCGACATTAGCAGACTCAGAATGTGCAGAACATGAGAAGCCGAGGCAGAGGGTAACGAAAATGAAAATGGCAATGTCGAGATCCGCACCTTCATCATGAGAGAGTTCTTGCGCAAACAGACTGACACGTACGGTGGATCCAGCGAGACGCTGCGAGAGACAATGGACGGAAGTACGAGTAAGGCTTGGCAGGTGCACATGGCATTCAAGGCTTCAGGCATCGCGTACAGAATGATACCTTGTAAAGCTGCTGCAAGTCATTCCCCTGACTTGAAGGTCATCATTGTCTTGCTCTCCATAGGCAGCCGTGATGATCACAACAGGAGCTGGCACATGCCGCAGAATCTCCAGCATCGACTCTTTCTCGAACCCTTTCACGCTGCTCCCAGGAACACTCATTGTAACGGCTTGTGGAACTACGGCAAGCGATGGCCACCAGAGGTATGAGTGTTTACAGGGAATCAAGGTGAGGAGAAGGCCACTAATGCTGAGGTGGTTGGAATTGAGAAGGTCATTTCAGGAACCATATGCCATAGTTGTTGAGAACCAACCAGAATCTTGAGGTGTAGTGAGGGCGTATTCATCTACCACCACAAATTGGAACCCTCCCCCCTACGCCCAGGGACATTTCTGCGTGTCCCTGGTAACAAGGGTCCATTCTGTATTCAGGAAATCTTCAAGTCAGGTCAACCGAAACCCCAGTTCTGAATGTTCCGAGACTGGAATGAGCTGAAACTCCAGGAGCAGGGCTTTCGCTAGGCCCTATGGAGTTTCAAAGGGTCCCGAGATGGGGTCCAAAATTACCCAGAATTTTTCGGATCCCAAGGAAATTTCACCTAGAATCCTTCCGATTTCTCGACATAGCAACCATGCCAAAGGTCATGTCACTCCATCTCCCCTGATGTGTGCAGAGAATATGGCTAGGCTGATTGGCTGAGTCCTGAAATCCTCCAAGTAGCTTCGGTGATTTGTGACGTGAGAATCTTCGCCACCATGGACGTCGATGGATATCGACGTCAACGGATGTCGATGGATATCGACATCCCACTATGGACACGCTCTAAGTGCCGCAACGAATTTCCTTCAGCTAATCTACTAGCCCTTCAATCTCAAATCATGACGCTGAGGAGGTTACGACAACCACAGTAAGTCCTTGTGATTTTCGTCTTCAGCCCATACGCGGGTTATTTTTTATTCCATATTTTCTGCTTGCTTGGTTTGCACAACCACCCTGACTCCTCCATTCCCCCCAACAAACGCTGAGCAGCTCAAACCCCATTGGACGATCTCATGAGCTGCCAGTCCGCGTCAACAAGCTTCCGCAGTTCTTGGCGGAAAGTGAGGAAGGCTAATAACAACCAGCCACGAAGGCCGGAAGATGTGCGTTTCTGCGACAAGCGGGCTGTTTCAGTGGTGGACATATCGTGTTGAATATTAGGGCGTGTGACATTAAAAACAACAAGGTTCAACGCTGAGCGCGGAAAGGGTTGCGCAGCCTCCTAAAAAGATGCATTCCGTTTACGACAAATGAAAAAGATATCTGAAAATACATGTAGAGGTTTTGTATAATGTGGAAGGTACGAACTTTTGTAATGTTGATGAGCATGCCAATACGCGTATGTGTCAATTACGGGGCCTCGTAGGATATTTCAGGGGTAATATATTACAAATATGAATGGTTCGATATGGCACGCACTTAGCAATATTGCATGAATTTTTGTATGGCAAAAACATCCAAAAGAATGGATGACACCAGGCCCCCAAATTGCAGACTTTTTACTCTGATTCAGACTTTTTTCAGAGTTTTTTTGGGGGTGTACTCTGATTCCAAAGACTTTTTTTTCTATGTTACTCTGATTTTCCAGAGAAGTTTTATGTACCTACTCTGATTTTTCAGACTTCTTTTACAAGTGTACTCTGATGCTTCATCCTTGTAGGGGGGGGGGACTCTGATTCCTGTAATACCGTCATTATAGGGGGGGTTGCGAGATTTGCGTTGGTACCTCTGTCGTCACCGTCAATCACGCCAGAATTACATTTGCGCTGGCGCGGCCCGAGCCGTCGGGCGGGCAAATTTTGTGCGATGGCGCCAGCACAGAGATAGCCCGAGCAGCCGATTGGTCCTTGACCAAAAGACGGTTGTTTTCACCAATCCTGAGGCATTTTGCTGGGTGAGGCACAGCAGACAAGGCACCGCACCCATGCTGACGCAACGACTGCCTGGTTCATTCATGCATGGACAGCATCTCGCGCGCTGCGATGGAGTTGCAGCTGGCAGACCCCCTCCTTCTCCATCAGTTCTTTACTGACGGGGAAAACGACCCCTGCTTCTCCCCCCTCCAGCAAAACTTCTGCCAAGCTTCGTGTAGCCCCTCGGTTTTCTTTCAGCGCGTTTCTTTTCCCACCGCGCCTCTGCACACCATGGAGCAGGTCGACCTCGATGAGGACGTAGACGAGGCAGATCATGACGAACAAGACGAAGAGTACTGGTGTGCCGAGAATTTCCGCGATGGTCCGGCCGCACTAAAGTTCCTGCGGCAGTCGGATGCTACAGATCGTAGCCCTCAGAGGAAGCCTGGTGACGCTGCCCCTGCTGATGGCGATGCACCTGTTCCCGATGCAGCGGGCAAGAAGTCTGCGGATGCAAGCCCCCTGCCCACTGCTTCAGCTCCTGTCGCCGGCAGCACGCCGTCGGTGACGGCGGCGAAGAGGTTCCGGTACAGGCAGGTGATTCTGCCGTACGCCTCAACGTCGACATGCCAGGATCCGCCTGAGCCTGTGCCGAGCCCCTTTTTACATGCGGACTTGCCAGAATCGTCTGGCGGTAGGTCCACTGCTAGAACGAACGAGGATATCTATGCTGAGGCCCAAGAGCGTTTCAAATCTCGCTGGTCTGACAGATTCCCTTGGCTCATGCTTTTGAAAACTGATGATGGGCTCCCGGCCTTCAAGTGTAGTGTATGCGCAGTGCATGCAGGACCTGCAGGGCGTACCGGCAAATCGGGCAAGGGAGCAAAGGACGTGCAGACACAGTCGTTCAAGAAGCACGCCGGAACGCAGAAGCATCGCCTCGCCATGTCCAAGCAGGACGATCTCCTGCAACAGGCGTCTAACCAGCAGCGGATCGACCTGCATCCCCGCGCGGCCGACGAAGAGAAGGAGCGAGTCATCGCGTTGCTCGACTCCCTCTACTTCTGCGCCAAGTGTAACGAACCCATGGAAACTTGGATTCGTTTAGTGCGATACCTCTCATCGCGCAGTTTCAAGGGCTTCCCGAAGTCTGCCTACGGCACGTACTATAACTGGTGAGAACTCCAGTGACTACGAACTGCGCTATGTTTCGTCTTTAGATATGAAACTTACAACAACTTGCACTGTGCGTGTCCTGTAACAGGTACGGCTTCGGCGAACTGACACAAGCGACGGCCACGTGGCTACAGACGACTCAACTCGAACACCTGCTGGCGAGTCCCTACATTGGCCTGAGCCTCGACGAAAGCACCGATCGCTGCCGTGGCAAGCACATGATCGTGTTTGCCACGTTCATCCGGGAAGGGCGGCTTGTAACCGAGTACCTGGCTCTGTTGACGGTGGAGAAGGCGGATGCGGCATCGCTACTCGCCCTCTTGTTGTCCCATCTGCAGGCGATTGTCGTCGACCTCGGCCGCATCTCTGGCATTAGCACTGACGGCGCTGCCGTCATGATGGGAGCGCGCTCTGGACTTGTGGCCCGCCTTCGTCTTCGCGTTCCGCACCTTGTCTCTTGCCATTGCATTGCCCATCGGTTCGTCAACCGTTTGCTGTGTGCATGTCATGTTTATTTGCTGGTTTTGTTTATAATTCGAATCGCTAATTTGCTGTGTGCATGTCATGTTTATTTGCTTCCCACGCAGAGAGGCGCTGGCGGCAAAGGCTGCTGCTGAGGAGATCCCTGTCTTCAGCATGGTTGACAACCTCATTCGCGAGATCGCTGAGCTCCTCGGTCGCTCCAACCCCTGGCATCAACGATTCTTGGAGCTCCAGGAGGTGTTCATGTCGACGAACCTCGAGCTCCAGGGCATCCACAACATCCGCTGGCTGTCGCGCGGAGATGCTGTCATCCGCCTGGTCGAGGTCCTACCAGCCATCGTGGTCATGCTGCAGGAGTACGACGCCAAGCTGTACGCGCTCGTCACCAGTTACCGCTTCTGGCTCCTCCTGATGTTCCTCGCCGACGTGCTCGAGCTGCTGAACGTGCTCAACAAGGTCTTTCAGCAGCGGGAGGTAAATATGTTGAATGCTTGTGTTTGCAACTTTGCATGCATGTCGATATTGCTCGTCTCTGCCGTTCGTCCCTTAACCACACATCCCCCTGTGATGCCCTAGCTTTCCTCGCCCCCCTACCCACCAGGTGGATTACACAACGGTGCACGCGCAGATCATCCGCACGACCTCGCTGCTAGAGAGCCGCTACGTGGACTGCGGAGATGACTTCTCCGGCGGGCCCAACGATCGATTGACGCGGTTCCTCGCCAAGCACGGGCCCGGCAAGTCCAAGCTAGTGACAGTGGAGGGGATTGACTCCGATGGCCGACCTTCACGGTTCACCTTCGAGCTGCACGAAGAGCCCCAAGAGGACTACCCGGGGCCGAGCGACCACGATGGGAGTGTCGTGGCGTGCATGGCTCTAGCGGAGGGCCTGGTCCGCAACCTCGACGAGCGCCTAGGCGATCTGCGGCAGCTGTCGGGAGCGCGCCTATTCAGCGTCGACACATGGCCACCCAACTGGGACCGACACGCACGGAGGACGCAGTGCCTCGAGTGGTTCAACTCTCTCGTGGTCATCTACCGCGCTGAAGACAGGGACGAAATTCTGCCAGGTAAATTTGTTTACTCCTTTCAGTATCCCTCTCGCAATGTTTATGAAACAAGACACATGTCTTTTCGTTAACCCTGTGTCGGGAGCGCGCCTGTTCAGTGTCTTTTCGTTCAGATAACCCAACCCTTCTCCGTTTCCTTGTGTTGTGTTGTGTTGTGTGCCCTTGTCTGATCAGGTATAGACAAGCGCAAAGCCCAGAGCGAGCTCCGCAACTTCGTTCCCGTCCTTGCTGCGCTTCCCAAGGCGGACAGGTCATTCCATGCAGGGCTGAGCGCCATGCTAAAGACGCAGGACTGGAGGGACAGCTACCCCAACCTGGTCAACTTGTGGGTGGCGGTGGCTGTCCTTCCGTTGAGCACTGTCGAGTGCGAGCGCGGGTTCTCCCGCCAGAACGTCATCAAGAGTTGGCTGCGGGGGGCTCTCAAGGATACTAGGCTAGGAGATCTGATGTGCATGTCGCAGCTAGAGTATGACCCTGACTGGCAAGAGGTGGTCACCATCTGGCGGGCTTATAAGAAGAGGAAGCCCCTTAGCAATGCCCTGCCCGAGGCTAGTAGCTGCAGGAAGGGAAAGGAGAAAGTAGATTATGATAATGATATGCCGACAGCACCGCAGCAAGATATGCAGGATATTGACTGATTCTGT